AGTGGTACTATGGCTCAAGTGGTAGCGTGCTAACCTTGAGCAAAAAGAAGCTCAGGGACAGTGCTCAGGACCTAAGTTCAAACACAGGACTGGCTAAAACAAAACATCCATAGCTTTATTTGGATCAATATTAAAAGCATGTTTTTAGAGTTCAAACATAAATCCATTGAATTATGAAAGAAATTCATCTTCCTTTACAGCACTGGAAGTCCTCACTGCTATGAAAGTTTGTCACTGTGAATGTCAGGTGTCACCCCTACAAAACGATACAGTGGGCAAGGGATCTGTGGCTGGAACAGTGCCCAGTTATAGCCTGCAGAGGGCAGAATATTCTTACATTGTAATATTAGAATGGAGGCATTTAGGTCAGGGGCTGCATGATTTTTTCTATAAAGGCCAAAGACATAGACAATACAACAAATGGGCGTGGTTGTGTTCCAATAAAGCTTCATTTATGGATGCATATGTGTAAGTTTTATAACATGTTTATGGATCGTGAGGTATTCTTCCTCTAGATTTTTTTCTCATCATCCTTATTAAGGCAAAATAAAAGTCATATATGCTTAAGGTACATGACAGACATAGTGTTCTGATATGCATATCAAAATAAACAGCATACCATCACCTCACAGTTACCATTTTCTTCTTTATTTTATGGCATGAATGCTTAAGACCAAATATAAAAAGGCAGCACTGTTAATGGTACCTACACTGCTATGTAGCAACCTCTTCCCCAATTTCCTTATCTTGCATCATGGAAACTTAATACTCTTTGATCAACTTTTCCTTGGCCCTCCACATCCCCCTTTTTATCTTCTTTTTTTTTTTTTTGCCGGTCATGGGACCTGAACTCTGGGCCTGGGCACTTTCCCTCAGCTCTTCAGTTCAAGGCTAGCGCTCTACCACTTGAGCCACAGTGCCACTTCTGGCCTTTTCTGCTTATGTGGTGTGCTGAAGAATTGAACGCAGGGCCTCATGAATGCAAAGCAAGTACTCTACCACTGAGCCAACTTCCCAGCCTCAACACCCACCCCCCTTTTTTGTTGTGCAAATTGTAGGGCTTGAAGCAAGCACCTGGGTGCTGTCCCTGAGCTTTTCTGCTCAAAGGCTAACACTCTACCACTGGAGCCACAGCTCCACTTCTGGTTTTCTGGTGGTTAACTGGAGATGAGTTTACAGATTTTTCTGCTCAGGCTGGCTTCAAATCTCATAATCTCAGATCTCAGCCTCCTGAGATCCTCCCTACTTAAAAAAAAAGTTTCGGGCTGGGAAGGTAGCTCAGCGGTAGAGTGCATGCCTTGCAAGCATGAGGCCCCTGGGTTCGATTCCTCAGCACCACATAAGCAGAAAAAGCTGGAAGTGGCGCTGTGGCTCCAGTGGTAGAGCGCTAGCCTTGAGCTGAAGAGCTGAGGGACAGCGCCCAGGCCCAGAGTTCAGGCCTCATGACCAGCAAAAAAAAAAAAAAAAGTTTCTCCAATCATTAAAAAATGTAAACATTGGGGCTGGGAAGGTGGCTCAGTGGTAGAGCGCTTACCTTGCATGCTTGAGGCCCTGGGTTCGATTCCTCAGCACCACATAAGTAAAAAGAAAAAAGCCGGAAGTGGTACTGTGGCTCAAGTGGTAGAGTGCTATCCTTGAGCTGAAGAGCTGAGGGACAGTGCCCAGGTCCAGAGTTCAGGCCCCACGACCGGGCCCCCCCCCAAATATAAATATTATTTATGACTTTTAGCTGGCTGGCCTTGATTTAGGCCCAAACTTCTCCATGGATTTAAAAGTTGCTATTTCTAGCCAGGCGCTGGTGGCTCATGTCTGTAATCCTAGCTACTCAGGAGGCTGAGATCTATGGATCACGATTCAAAGACAGCCCGGGCAGTAAAGTCCATGAAACTCTTATCTCCAATTAACCACTCCAAAAACCAGAAGCGGCACTGTGGCTCAAGTGGTAGAGCATTTGCCTTGAGCTGAAGGGCTGAGGGACAGTGTTCAGGCCCAGAGTTCAAGTCCCACAACCGACAAAGAAAAAAAAAGTTGCTATTTCTAGCTGTTAAACAATCTGGGATTGAAAACCATTCTGATTTACCTCCAAAGTATTAGATTATTTGAAGTGATTATTACAGTCACAAATAGCAACTAATAGATGACTGTGTCATCTACTAAAGACATATTGAGGTATTACTTATTCTGATAAGACTGTCTCTGGAATTTTCTATTTCATTGAAATATTTTAATTTCAACATAGATAATGACATGATTGATTAAGTAGAATAGAAAACAAGTTAGGAACCATGTAAGCTTCTATAGAGCTTAGTAATAAGTTAAAGAACATATGGTTTGTTTTTGAAATGTCCATTCAATCTTACTGTTCTCAGAAAACATATTTTAAATCAATTGATTATTTTTGAATAGCACTCCAAACGTCGGCCTTTCTCTGTACACATGCAATCTGCCATAGCCAGGAATTTGGCAGTTGTATGTTTCACAGTAGATGCTAACTTAAAAAGACTGTAAGTGGAAATCAACATCTCTTTTAATCAGACTTCCCTTGTTGCCCTCTTCTAAGAACTTTGTGATAGACCATCTGGATGATCTCTGCATCTTAAAATTCTTCTTTTGTGAATGTGCCAGTACTGGGGCTTGAACTCAAGGCTTAGGTACTGTTCCTGAGCTTTTGTGCTCAATAATAGCACTCCATCATTTGAGCCATAGCTCCATTTTGTTGTTGTTGTTTGTGGTTATATGGAGATAAGAATTTCAGGGACTTTCCACCTAGGCTGGCTTGAGGCTAGCTGAATTGAGATCCTCGGATCTGAGCCTCCAGAGCAGCTAAGATTTTAGGGGCTTCTACTTCCTACTTTAATGTTTTGGTAGATGATGTCTTTAGCCAAGAGAAGAGAGAGAAAAATGAACAGATGTAGGGACTGGTCTAATGGAACTTGGTAAGTCTATTTCCAGCAGTGTGGACTGAGTTTCCTGTGGAACACCCACAAAGAAGTATCCGATAGGGACTTCGAAAGAGTGTGAAGAGTGGTTAATGCTCCAGTGAGGGCATGTTAAGTCAAGAGCCAAGAAGAAGGCTGGGCCAGGGGCAAGCAGAAGCAAGACCCAGGGACACTGAGTCAGAGCACTGGGATGCTGAAGAGGGACCACAGGGCACTGAGTGGTAGAAGCAGCGCATGGAAAACAATTTCTCAAGACACCTGGGCCATGAATTGTTTGGATGGCACCTTCAGGGAAAGCCGTCCACAGAGCAGGGAGACCTCTGCCTGCTTCATAAATCTTAAGGTTTGGGCATTGATGCAAGCACCTTTACAAATACAGGTTCATTTTTTCTTAGGATAGTGAATTGTATATGTCTGATAGGTTAGACTATGGCTCCTTGACAGCTAATCAAACATCTGGATGGTGCTATGAAGGTAGTTTTGGGGTAAGATGAACATTTAAATCAGGAGACCTTGAGGGAGACAGATCATCCTCCATAACGGGGATGAGCCTTATCCAGTCAGTTGAAGGCCTCGAGACAGAGAAAGAATGAAATCCCTTAAGCAGGAGGAAATTCTGCCATTGGATTGTCTTTGGATTCAAATCGCAACATCAATTCTTCTTGGGATCGCTCGTCTGCTGGCTCATCTTGCAATTTTGGATTTGCTACGCTTTCTCAAATGTGTGAGCCAATTCCTTAAAACCTCTGTCTCTGCCTTCCCCTCTTCAATCTTATTGATTCTGCTTTTCTGTAGAATCTTAATAGGCTTCTAACTACAGCAGGCATGATTATCGTCGAAATACACAGCAAGGAAACTGGTGCAGAAGGGATAAGCGGCTTGGCCCCATAGCCAAAGGCGGCAGAGCTGGGATTCCAGTCCCTGCACTTTAAACTTAGGTTCGACTTCCTTTTCAGAGCATGGACCCAACATATGATTGGGGCCCACTGGGAAGACCAATTCCCAATGAAGAGAGTCACAATATATGAGCATCCATGATTGGGCATCCAAGATGCACCCAAGGAGGGAGTTCAAGATTTTAAGTTGCAGAACTCAGGCATTTTGGGAAGCAAAGGTATGGTGTTTCTTTTCTCCTTTGTACTTCCTCTCCCTTCTTTATCCATCTCCTTTCGCTTTCGGAAATCTTGGGTTCCGAGATTCATGTACACATTCCCTCTTGAGTCACTATGACCAAGACCACCAAGCACCCCTAAATTTTTAAGTCATCGAGAATACACACAAGCAATAGAGGGCCTGTCTTCCTTCGTGCAGGATATGTTAACACCATACTACAACCCATCTAACCAATGTGTCTCTGGTAAAAATCAATGCATTTGTGCTTTTACATTTTTTATTTTCTCTCGGCTGACTGGCCCAGAGAAAAGGAAGCAGCCATGTGATGAGCTTCTCTGCGGATAGTATGACGTGATAAGGACTTAAAGCCTTTGTGCAACAGCTGGAGAGGAACGGAGAGTAGCCTGTAGCTACGTGAGTCCTAAAGCACAGCTGACCCTCCCTAGAGATGACCAGAACCCTGGCTGACATCTTCCCTGCAACCTTTTGGGGAACCCTTGATTCCAATCTAGCAGCACAGTTGGGCCTGGATTCACAACCCCCTCACACGGCAAGACAGGAGATATTCACTGTTGTTTGAAGCTACAACATTTTTGGTTCATTAGTTGGACAGAAATTGGTAACAAATGCATATGAGCATGGTGACATGTCTAGAATTCAAAATATATCATTGCTTCTCTCTAGGTGGTAGTATCATGGGTCATTTTTATTTGTTCTGCACAACGTTGGCAAATATTTCCCCCCCTTTCAACAAACAAAAAGACCATGTGACCAGGCTCATTTAACCTTGTAAAGAAAAGGATGGATATAAAGAGAACCAATGTTAGCTCTTATCACCTTCAATGATTCTCTTCAAGGGAATTAGCTGAAATGTACATAAACCCAAACCCCAAACTCAACAACATAAACATCAAACTCCAAAGCCAGAGCCTGAGGACTCTTGCTTACCCAGTTTCTGATCAAAACGCCATGCTGCAACATAAGCATTGTGTCTCAGACTGCTCTGCGTGGTCAAAGGCACGGAGACATAGATGGGGCCGTCCACCAGCACTGGAGTCCCGTTACTGCTGAGCAGGTGCACGCTGACAGCGGTGACTGGAGTCAGATCATACCTGGTGCTGTTTCCTAGAAGGGAAAGGTGTTTTTTTTTTATCCCCCCATCATGTGGACATATAGTGCCTGCGACTATAAAGATCCTTTTTGGAACATAAGTCACGGCTGCCGCTTACTGTGTACAGCCCAGGGTCTGTAGTGGGTCCTTCACATCAGCAATCTTCAACACAAGCTCACTAGGCACATGAAATCCCCATTTTATAAAGGAATAGGTTCAGCAAGGACAATCAGGACAGCTGTCTGAAGGGGTATCTCATGCTAGATTCCGGCCTGTCTACCCATAACTATCATGCTTGCTTTGCTTCCAAAGGAGAGGGGAAGCCTTTCCTGGAATGTGAAATGAACGCGTAGGTGGAAGTTACTGAAAATAACTTCTACCTAAAATAAGCCCAGGACAATATGTTTATAATATGTGTAACGTACGTCAAATAACAGATCACTATCGTGAAACTAAATGTTTTATTTATTTAATTACTTTATTGTTTGGTGCCAGTACTTGGGCTTGAACTCAAGGCCTGAGCTCTGTGCCTTAGCTTTTTTTTTTTTTTAACTTTTTATTTTTCTCAAGGCTGGAACTTTACCACTTGAGCCACAATTCTACTTTTGGCTTTTTGGTGGTTAACTGGAGATGAGTCTCATGGACTTTCCTGTGCAGGCTGGCTTCAAATTGCAATCCTCAGCTCCCAGCCTTCTGAGTAGTTATATTTATATGCATGGATCACTGGTGCCTGGTAAAAAAATATATTTTATTTTATTTTTTACAGTGCTGGGAATGGAACCCCGGGCCATGCTGAGGAACACAGACAAATACTCTACCATTGAGATACATTCCCAGTATTAAACTAAATGTATTTGAGATTTTTTTTTAAAGTACTGAATTTCTTTAAGGATTACTTCAACATATTCATTTACTTGTGCCAAAAAGTATAATGAAACTTGGGCTTGAAATATTTATGAGTTATTTCAGTTGCCATTGTTATTTTGGTCTGTTAAAAAGGAATTTGATATCTCAATTACTCTCCATTAGAGACCTTTCATCCAAGCCTGAGATTTAATGACTGTCTATAGATAAGTTAGAGAATGCTTTATACACTTAAGCAATCCACTTTAGATTTTTCTCTAGTGAGATAAAATGACATACAAGACATTCTGTCAGATTTTTTACCTTTCCCTGAACAAAATGGTAAAAATATCCATTGATTTTAAAAAAAGTTAAGCTACATTAGAATACAATCTTTAGGATTTTATTACCTTTTTCTTTTGGAGACAGTGTCTCATCAAGTAGCCAAGCTAATCTGAAACATTTTATTCTCCTGTCTCAGCCTTCTGAGTGCTGGGATTATAGGCCTACACCACTATGCCTGGCTCCAATCTATGATTTCTTAGTTAGTTATATATTTACTTATCTACCTGATCTCAGTTTAGATAGATTAAAAACAAATCTAATAAGTTTTGGAATTTCAGCAATGATTTACTGGCTAAAGCCTTCACAAAGTTTCTCTTTCTTCCTTTCTTTCCTTATTCCCTCCCTCCTTTTGCCCCTCCCTTCCTCTTGTTCTTCCGTCTCTCCCTGTCTGCTGCCCTTTCTTTTCACCCTCCTTCCCTTCCTTTCTTTCTGGTGGTACTAGACTTGAACTCAGGGCCTTGCCTACGTTAGGCGAGGGATCTGGCTCTTTTGGCTTCAATTACTTCTCAGATAAGTTTTGAGTGCTTTTTGCCTGAACCAGCTTCAGGCTTCGACCTTTCTATCTACACTTCCTGTATAGCTGGGATGCACTACCACATTTGGCCAGGAGGGCTGTTTTCGTCCATCAAGTCCTTTGCAGAACGTATGTCTGAGAAGCAAGGGGTAGGTGGCATAGATAACACGAGACATGGCACATCTCTGTCCTCCTTAAGACTTATCCACTCTCCCCTGTCATGATTCTACCCAGGGAGATGGTGTTAGAGTACCATCTACCTATGTGGCATCTGGCCAGTTACTCTGCTTCTTTGAGGTTGTTGTTCTTATCTTTACTACTAAGGAAGGTGGCAAGATGCCTTGAGAGTACAGACACAAATTCTTTCTGCCATAGACGTTCAGAAGTAAGTGAGCATTGTAGAAATAAATGTATGACTTGAAGACAATGGACACTAGGTGCTTTCAAAAGTTCTCTAGCTGGAGACAGGTGTGATGGTGGATAATCTCAGCACTTGGGAGACTGAGACAGGGGGGTCATCAGTTCAAGGCCAACCTGGGCTTCATAGGGAGATCTTCTTTCCAAAAAAAAATTCTCTAGCTATCTTAAGACATGGCAGATAATCACCCATTTTCTGGAGGGTTCTTTTCTTCTTCAGTGCTCCTCTAAATTCCTGCTCCTACTCAGCCTTTCTTCCTCCATCCTTGCCACTTCTTCTATTCTGTAATGATTCAGACTTTAAGGACTATTTTCCCTCTACTTTGTTAAGAGTTTCTAATTCTGCACAAAATACTGAGTTCTATACATAACTAGGCTTTCCCTCTGGTCCCACCCACATTGAGGGCCCTTTATATCCAAACAAAGACAGTTCTTAGGCCAAATCAGTGGGGAGGGGAAGGTACCACTGTAACCCACCAAGAAGACAAGTGGTTTCATCTTAGGTGTCTGACCAATTCCATATGGTGCTGCTCAGCCATCTGGGGTAAAGTTTGGCTTTGCACTGTAGCATCAGGAGAAGCATCTCCTGATCCCCAAATCTGAAATCCAAAATGCTTCAGGAGTCTGTAACTTTCCAAGTGTCATGATGTAAATCTTTGCAAATCTTCCCCAAACCTAACATGCTCTGAAAAATCTATAACCACTTCTGACCCTAAGCATTTTAGATGAAAGGATCATCAACCTTCATCCAACTTTTAGGGGTTGCAAGAAAGGACGCACCCCTCTGTCTCTGTGGAGCTCTGATTAGAAGCCATTTCATTATGACCCCACAGGAATGGCACAGAGCAAGCAGTTCTGTTCTCTTAACAACAGGAAAGAGTATGATGCTAGAGCAGATGGGCTGGAAGTATCTGAAATCTCTGTGTGGCTACATTTCTTTACCTACAACTCAGCCTCCCTATGAACTAGATGCAACTGTCCTTCAGATGCTCCAAGGAAACCCCTTTCCTTTCCAATCTCCTTCATGGTCCACATGGTTCCTGCCCACCTTTGTTAATCTCTAGTCTTGACCTATCACCTCACAAAGACGTGTTTGGTCCTAGCTGTCCTCAGCCTAAACTTCGTAGATGCCTTTTATAAAATCGGAGGCAAGTGACTGGAGGCCAACTAGGATTGGAGGCCAGCACCAATGTGATGAGCTTCAGGACTGGTAGGCAGCTCCACGGTCCGTGTAACCACGGGACACTTTTTCTGTTAAGTCTCAGAAGAGGTCAGATCCTTCTTAAGGCAATTTGTCAGTTATTTCAGTCAAAAAGAAGTTTATGCCACCATCTAAAGACCTTCTCTCTTCCCTCTGAAATAAAATGAGCTTAAAATAAAATAAACTCTAAAAAAATCAATTAGTTCAGTGTCTTTGTGTTCTTTATCGCCTAGTTGTCTCTGATTTCATAATTTATTCAAGAGCTGTTGGAAGTGAGACACAGAAAAAAACAATGAGCTCCAAGGAATGAAGATGTCCCTCTGAGTTGGAGTTTAGGCTTGTGCTCCATTTTGTCTTAATGACAGCTACAATGACCTCAAATTGGACTTCACCGCCCCTCACCCCCCCAGAAATGATGCTTACATATTTAAAGCACAAATCAAGGTTTCCCCCAAGAATGTTTGCTAAGGATGGCTACCATTCAACTAACCGACAGCAAATGACTGACATATTAATCATGTTATTAGCACACAAAAAAGAAAGAAACATCTCTCAAATAAGCATTTCAGGCAGGTACCGGTGGCTCACCCTTATAATCCTAGCTACTGAGGAAGCTGAGATCTGAGGGTCAAGGTTTGAAGCCAGCATAGGCAGCAAACTAGAGAGATTCTTATCTCCAATTAACTAGCAAAAAGCAGGAAGTGAGGTAGAGCTCAAGTGGTAGAACACCAGCCTGCTGAGAAACAGCTAAGCAAGAGCTTGAGGCTCTAAGTTCATGCCCCAGGACTGGCACCAAATTTAAAAAAAATACTGCCTGAGGGAAGAAAAGTGAGTAAGAAATCACCAGGTCACTTTAATCTCTAATCTGTAATTTATTAACATGCTATAAAGTGAACCAGGTATTTCAGGTTAAAAAATGTGTTTTTTTTCTTCTTCTCCCCTGCCTTCCTTTCCTCCCCTCCCCCACCCCCGTCAGAATCATCAGCTCATGTAAAATCCTGGAAGAAAAAAAATAATAAAATTGTCGTTGGAAAATACAGTAACTTACCTAGCAGAATTTAACCCTAAACAGTGTCTGGCTTTTCATTTTATGCTGAGTCTAATGTGGGAGACAGAAAAGGGAACAGAGGAGAAAAAAAAAGACATCGAACTGCAAAATCCTGGCACTTCTGCACCAGGAAGACTGGAAACTATGAAATCACCCAATGCTCCTGAGAACCATGCTCCTGGGCTTGAGTCCAGTCAGATGGCGTGCATACATCTGCAGTGTTTTTCTGATGAGGCATTAGCACCTATTTTCTGGCTGCTGATTTTTGCTTTCTCTGCTCTTGTAGCTTTACATGCCATGACAGAACAGTGACAGTGACAAAGCTTGACGTAGACATTTGCCAGAAGATTCCCAATGAATTCTTGCCCATTCTTTGGCAATCCCAGGAAGCCCCCTGTCTGCTGCTTGAAGGGCCTCCTCTGGCCTCTCTTTTGCTGTGGATAACAGAGTAGAGGCTCAAGGAGACTGACTTGCTGAGATGCAGTTCTGCAGTGTGTGTAGACTGAATTCCCAGATGCATGGCTGGAATGGGACAATGTCGGTATAGTTGAACTTGCAGGAAGAGTTCTTTTTTCCGCAACTTCAGGACTCTTCCTCCATTCTATCCTATCAGTACCAGCCATATCTCAAATCCACATATAAAGAATAAAACCTAAGCCTGGTGGGCTGCTGGTTCATGCCTGTAATCCTAGCTACTTAGGAGGCTGAGATCTGAGGATGGTGGTTCAAAGCCAGCCCTGGGCAGGAAAGTCTGTGAGATTCTTGTCTCCCAATTAACCACCCCTCAAAACCTAGAAGTAGAACTGCGGCTCAAGTGGTCATGTATGAGCCTTGAGCCAAAAGCTCAGGGACAGTGCCCAGTCCTTGAGTTCAAGCCCCATTAGTGGCATAAAACAAACCAACAAAAACCTGGAAGTCCCACCTGGAAAGAGAAGAGATCTGAATTACCTGTTCCATTTCCATCCAATCCTCTCAAATAGGGAAAGCTGTCCACCTCGGAGGGGGAGCTGGCGGCTGTGAGGAAGGCCGTCAAGTCACTGTAGCTGGCATTCTCAGGCAACCTTAGGGCTCTCCTCTGGAAATGGACACGAGGCTGTGGCCGGGCGCCTGCAAGGATGAACTTGTGAGTTACCTTCCCCAAGGAGCCATTTCCATTTCAGAGAAAGTACAGCCAAGAAGTACTTCTCTAGGTTCCTTCCCCCTCCTCCCATCCTTCATTCCTCCAGGACACAAAACAGTGACAAGATATTATTATGGGGCGAGAAATAATAGCCCGTTGTCACATTTGTTTTGACACAGGATGTTATTTAGGTTTTTCACCAAAAAACCCCCACAAAAGCCTTCCTCTCCACCTCAAGTTGTATTTGTAAGCATCTTTTCACTGCCCAGCATTTGCCTATAGATTGGATCACATGTTAGTTATGTCCATGTAAATGAAACAGGGGAGGGTAATCTCTTGATACAAAGTAAGAGACGTGTATTGATCCTGCTATAAATCTATCTTTCATCTCCCTTTAACTCCACCAGCTACACTGAATTGGAACAGGGTGATTAGATGTGCAGACCTGGAAAGAATGAGACACAAGAACCCAACAGCAGCTAGGTACCTGTGGCTCATGCCTATCCTAGCTACTCAGAAGGCTAAAATCTGAGGATCACAGTTCAAAGCTAGCTTGGGTAGGAAAGTCCATGAGATGCTTATCTCCAATTAACCACAAAGAAGCTAGAAGTGGAAGTGTAACTACAATAGTAGAACTCCTGCCTTGAGCAAAAAAGCTAAGGGCCAGCATTCAGGCCTTGAGTTCAAACCCCAGTACCAGCACAAAAGCAAGAAAGAAGGAAAGGGAGGGAGGAAGGAAGGTATGGAGGGAGAGAGAGAGAGAGAAAGAGAGGGGGAGGGAAAAAGGGAGGGAAGAAGTTAACAGCAGTACTCCTTATATTCTTTTTTTTCTTCCAATATTGGGGCTTGAACTCAGGGTCTGGGCCCTGTCTCTGAGCTGTTCCCCCCCCCATACCCCCAAGACAGTGCTATACTTACACCACGTTTCCACTTCTTGCTTTTTTGAGTAGTTTACTGGAGATGAGTCTTCTGGACTTTGTTGCCTGGGCTGGCTTTGAACCGCTACCCTCAGATTTCAGACTCCTGAGTAGCTAGGATTATAGGCAGGAGTCACTGGCCTCCAGCAATTCTGTTCAATTATGAGGAACTACACTTTTTCTAGTGCTTTAAGTCTAAACAAACAATCCCGGTGTGTTATTCATATAATATTCACTGTGTAGCAGCCCGGTTTTCCCATTGTAGAAAGCAAAAGAACTCAGTAGGCATAAAGAAAGAATGTCTAGAAGTAACAGGATGAAGAGGGACCTGGGTGGGCTTTGTGTGGGTCAAGACAGAAGGCAGAGTACAGGTCAGTCATCCCAGAACAGAGGGGCCACACGTGTCCCTCCAGGCCAATTCATAGACCAGTGGGACAGAAGGTTGAGATCTATAAACTCCTTTGCATCTAGAGACAGAAACCTGTAGACTAGACCAAGGAGGAGGGAGCCTATGGAAAGTGGGAGACTCAGACTGAACCTAGAACATGCCATCAGCCTAGCCTGATGGGGCAAGCCTGGGATCCAGGAAACCACCAAGGTTTAAGGGCTCAGATGTCTCATTTCAGTTGGTTTTGTTTGTTTGTCCATTTATTTGCTCATCCTTCTCTCTCCTTTGTCTGTCTCATTTATTTCCATGTATACTGCACGTACTTTGGTGGGGGATGTTTCTGTTTCCTCCTTCCTTCCACGGTACCTCTCCCCTATCACATCCTTATCGTGTGTGTGTGTGTGTGTGTGTGTGTGTGTGTGTTAGTACTGAGGCTTCACTTCAGGGCTGTGCAGTCTTGCTCAGCTTTTTCACTCATAGCTGGCAATCTACCAGTTAAGCCATGCTGGTATCTCCAGCTTTTTCCTGATTAACTGGAGAAAAGACTCTTCCAAAGTTATCCACTCAGGCTAGCTTTGAACTGTGACTACCAGGTCACAGCCTCCAGGGTAGCTAAGATTATAGGCACGAGCCACTGGTTACTGGCTGTGCAGAGAAATTTGGTCACTGGCCAGATGTCCCGGGTCTGTATGTGGTGGCTCAGTGGAGGCACGCACATACGGTGAGAAAAGGAGATGTCTAATGATGAGCTGATGTGTTATTGTGGCTGGCATGATCCTGATGTCATCTGTGGAGGGATGCCACAAGCCCCGCCCCCCACAATAGGGGAACACAGACAAAACCTGTGGTTGGTGAAATTCCCGCCCCCCCCCCAAACATCTTAAGTATCAAAGAGTACAAGCTTATTCTAAGCTGCGTTATAAACAACATCTACGTGAGTCTGTGTAGGGCTGGGGGACTGAGTGCAATGTCCAGTTTGTCTTCATGAATTAAAGCTGCCGAGATTTCATAGGCCTGGAGGGGAACGGAGGTGGGACGGTGGAGTAGCCGGCCTGTCATTACGGCCTGTTCTGCTCTCCTACTCTAGCAGCTGTTTCAGACTTCCTCGGTTCTTCTCAAAACCAAAGCTCTGTCCCCATTCCCCAGATAGGGCCTCTTACTTCCTCTCTCTGGGCCCTAAAATCTGTTTCTCCCCTCTTCTTTTCTGGCTTTCTCTTCTCCAAGGTCAACCCAAGGCTTTACCCTCACTTCTACTCGTTTATTTGTTCCAAGACATGGCCACCAATTGTTCTTGCCTTTGATAGCCAGCCACAGCTGCCTACGGGGTTTTCCTCCATCACCAATGAATACACTCATTTCTTCTCCTGTTGGAAAATGAACCAGGAAATGTGACTTTAATTCTCTGATCCCACAATTGAATGTCTTCTCTCCTTCCATCTGGCCTCCTGGGGTGCAGATTCCATCCATCACACGTTAGAAATGTTGACAGTTGACGACGCAGTTGGTACATCCCATGACCGCTTTTCAGTCTACATCCTCCCTGACCTCTTCACAATGGTCCACACTGTTTACCACCCCTGCCCACAAATCCCTCCTCCTCAGCAGCATTCATGCTCCTGAACTGTTCTGGTTCTCTCCATCCACTGGCTTTCTCCCTGGCAAGTGCTTTCTTTCTCTGTCTCCAGATGAAATGCTTCCAAAGATCTGTCCTCATGCCACACTGCCCCTCTCTTTCCTTGGCTGCCACTGTTCTCTACAGTCCTGGACTCCTGTGTAAGTTCCACCCCTGCACTTCCCTCTGCCTTTTAGACACTTCTATCTGGCACCACATAACCATCATCTGTTTTCACCCCCATTTAATGATCCCAACATCCTTTTGTATTTTGTTCTTTTAAAAAAATTTTAAAAAATTATCTGGAAGTAGTTGTACAAAGCAGATACCATAGAACAAAGTGGTTTATGAATATAATGCACCTTGATCATTGTCACCCCCTACAACATTCCCACCCATCTTCCCTTCACCCCTTCCCTTATTTTTCTAAACTTTGTGGTATATACAAGGAATTCTTTTCTTGTTGTTGTTGGTCGTGAGCTTGAACTCGGGTTGGGCGCTGTCCCTGCGCTCTTCAGCTCAAGGAGAGCGCTCTACTGCGTGAGCCACAGGGCCACTTCCAGTTTTCCAGTGGTTTATTGGAGATAAGAGTCTCATGGACTTTTCTGCCTGGGCTGACTTTGAACGGTGATCCTCAGGTCTCAGCCTCCTGAGTAGCTAGGGTTACAGGCATGAGCCACTGGCGCTTGGCTTACAATGAATTCTTGACTGCATCTTTCCCCCTTCCCTCCTTCATTTGTCTACCCCTCTTCTCCTCTTGGTTCTACCCTGTGGGATGTACCCATTTTCTGGTGTTGATTTTGTTGAGCTTTGACTTAGTCTGTCTAAAAGATTATGCTATTTGAGCTCTCAATAGAGTCTATTACACTTCAATTAACTCATTTGTAACTACTTGCACCAAATGTGTTTACTTATAGATTTATAGGCACATTCTACCACAGATGAGGGAAGCCAGGCAACCTTTGTTTCTCTTGGTCTGGCTTACTTCACTTAATGTAATTTTTTCCAAGTCTTTTCATTTCCTTGTGAATGGTATAATATCATTCTTTCTAATGGATCAAAAAATGTACATATATATAGGTACATATATATATATATATATATGTATATAAAATCCAGTTTTTGATACTAGGTCAGCATTTTTTTTCCCTGTGTAATAGCTTATGCATTCACTCAAGGGCCAAGACTGGCTAATCTTCTTTTGTCATCCTTTCTCTTCCTTCCTTTTCAATTTTGTGTCAGTTCTGGGGTTTGAACTCAACAGGATCTTGTTGGGCACTTATCTTTTTCACTCTATTATCTGAGCTACTTCTCCAACTCTGCCTTTTTTGTTTGTTTTTGGTGGTTACTTGGAGATAAGATCTTAAACACTCTTCTGTGATCCTTTTTTTTTGGGTCCAGTCATGGGGCCTGAACTCTGGGCCTGGGCGCTGTCCCTCAGCTCTTCAGCTCAAGGCTAGCGCTCTACCACTTGAGCCACAGCGCCCCGGCTTTTTTTTCTTTTTGCTTATGTGGTGCTGAGGAATCGAACCCAGGGCTCAGGCATGCAAGGCAAGCGCTCTACCACCGGGCTACCTTCCCAGTCCCTGGTCAACTTTTCTTGCACCATTTTTTCCCCCTTCCTTTCTGCCTCTACTCTATGTAGCCTTTTACTTCAACTATTTCAACGCTTCTAATTAGCCCCTCTGCCTCAGCCTTACCCCATTTTCCATTTCACCTCGTGACTCATTGCCTATTTAAAGACGCCAATCTGATCATATCCTTTTTCGGCTCAAAAGCCATTAATGGATCTCTGCCACTTACCAAATTAAGAACAATGACAATAACAACAGTAAAAATAGACCAATATAGACTGAGGCTGCTTCATTTCTCTTGTAAGTAAAAGGCTTTAGAGTTTAAAACGGATTTACTATGACCAGGGGCTTTAGAGTTTATAAGGGATATCTTTCTATTGTAGTGGTCATAGTATGTATATGATAGATGTATATGCGCATCTTCCCAGTAATCCTGTCAAGAAGGTACTTTTTTATTGCTAGGATGGGCATGAAGTTGGGGTGAAAGAAAGCTTCTAGGAGTTACTGTGGGGAACAGAAAAAGGGGTGTCTTACGAACAGTGAAGAAGCCTGGCCAAGGATGGCTACTACTGATCTCCAGCTGGCTGCTGGTAAGAGTAGTAGGAAGAGCCTGCGGTATCCTCGCTGACCCTTAGTTCCCACCACCAGCTTTCCAGGCCCAGGCCTCCAGGAGACAGAACTGCAGTCCGGCTCCCAAATCTCATCTCCTCCAACCTCTATCATCTTCCGATTTACTTCTGGATTTATCCCCCACAAGATTGCAAATGAATACATTCTTTGACAAAGTACAAACCACTCTCTTTAAAACACTTTATGAGTGTTCTCTCTTTCCAGCCTCCTAATCAATCTGGAAGAAATCTGCCAGCATTCTGCAACAATGAGCACATTTTCAGGGACAGCTCGCTGCTGAGGAAAAGCCATCCAGCTGACCATTCAGTTGGCTGGTCCACTTCTCTTCACTGTTGTAAGACTGTGCCTGACTTACTTTATAAAGTTAAAGCAACACTAACAACATAATCACTTTCCTCAGTTTGAAAATACAAGGGCAGTTGACTGTGAGAAGCATCCATTACATTTACAGGCATGCTATGCAGCACCACCGAGCTGGATGAAAGAATTGTTTTCCTGGTGCACAGGGTCAGAATTTACATAAATATGATACAGTCTATCTATAGGAAAGAAGTAGTCTTTTAAAAACTTATAGAAAAGCTATCATTACCATGGGTTGATTCACTACTTGGTTGTACATATTTTAAAGCAAAAACTTCCAACTCAAACACCAGCCAGGAACACAGGTGGAGATCTACCAGAAAAAGGGCCTGGGCTCTGGGAGTACAAACAGGAAATGGGAAAGCACAGATGTGGTATGCGGGCATAGGCACCGTGAATGTGATATGACTTGGGCTGTAAGGCCAGGCTCTCTGTAACTATATTTGACTCATAGAGATATACAAAGGGGAGAGGAAGGTCATATGTAATTACTAACATGGAAAGAAGGTTACTACTTATAGATGGCACATGACAGGGATTCCGAGATCCTGCACAGACCACCCTCTGAGGCCTGAGAGGAGACAGCAAGGTGTCAGGGCTGGCGGATGACAGTGAGAAGCTGAGGCGGCGGCCATGAAGCAGGCAGGCAGTCACAATGGAACGGAGTGTCTATCATGTGTGTATTGCTCTAGAGACTACAGGTTAAGCCCTGCTACCTCACTGAGAACATACCTGGCCAATGGACCAGCAGCTAGGAAAGGGTTTAAACATCTCCTTTAGTGCCTTCATCAAGGGGAATGTGGGTTCGATGCATATCACAGGTGGCTGTGAGGGAGAAGAGGCTGATTGGGACCAGGTTGGAACAGTGGCAGCCACCAGAGACTCTGGGCTCAGGGACCATCATTCAGCCCTGAGAATAGAGTATGGATGTGATTCATGAGAAAACCACCGAGGAGCCATTGAAGCAAACGACTTGATTGCTTTGACGTTTGGCTAGTGTGTGGGTTGAGCCAAGAGTGGGAATTACATCACCAGCTAAAAACCTCCTGCAGTGCTAGGAGGGAACGTAGGAGTGGGGTGGGGTGGGGTGGGGTGGATGCCTGAAGAGGCATCAGGGATGGAGAGAGGAGGCCGAGCAGGAGAATCAAATGTGAAAAGGATCAAGGATAATTTCTAAGGGTTCAGCCCGTCCAAGTTTGATATATAAGACAGAAGAAAACAGAGCATTAATCGAGAGCTCTGTGCATCCATGTCAAGTTGGAGAGGCCCCCTGGACACCCCAGGGGAGGTGACAAATAAGCAGCTATCTCCATCCTTTCACACCCTAGGGGAGGCTGGGCTCCCCTGGAGTGAGGCAGTTGGAAGTACTAACAACTAAGGAGCACTGAATTCTGAGGATTTCCATGAGACTGTTCAAGGAACGGAATGTCAAGTGTGGGCCAAGGACAGACAATCTACATGTTTCAGGAGTGATATGATTTTTTAAAATAATATTCTATTCAAAATTGGTCAAATTCATGTATGTGGAACCCACACATTTGTGGACCAGAGGCCTCCAATGGAACTGAAAAAAATTAACCTGATGAAAATTAATGCCAGGAAATAGCATCCTCACACTCACGATTTAGAAGGAATAAAATGGTCTTCTCAGCATAGAAGTATGTTTTACGCCAAGGAAGTACCAGTGGCTCCTATCTTTAGCTGCTCAGGAGGCTGAGATATGAGGATGATACTTTAAAGCTGGCCCAGGCAGAAAAGTCCATGAGACTCTTACCTCTAATAAATACCCCCAAAGAAGCCAGAAGTGGATCTCTGGCTCAAGTGGTAGAGCTTTAGCCTTGAGCAAAAGAAGCAGAGGCACAAACCCTCAGGTCCTGAGTTCAAGCCCCAGGACTGGCGCGCACACGCATGCGCATGCACACAGACACACACACACTGTTTTATACAAGTGTTGTTCTCAATTCTAACCCCAAGAGCAACAAGAGATCAGGTCTGTTAAATCTCCCATAGGAGCTTCTCTGTTAAGAGTCCCAGAACTCCAGGGCAGGATCACATACACAGCTAGGGCAGGAGAAGCACATTAAAGCCCTCACATTCTTATCAGCCTTTGTGAGTGGTCAGGTCTGCTAGGAAATGTAGTCCAGGCGAGTCTTGGCCTGAGACCCAAATGAGATAATCAATCTCTCCTTTGGAGAAGAAAGAGACACAGGAGCGGGCAGAGGAAGGCAGCCCCTTTTTTTCCCCCACACATTTAAAGAAAAAGAAATCAGATTCTATTCGCTTTATCATCTGGCTCAATATCAGACATGCTATGTTCTAGTAGGGACAATATACATTATGCCCCAGCTGTGGATAAATTCACAGCTGTCACCATCTGACCATAAGTGGGCCCCTCTTAAGACTGTGATAGTGGGTCGAAGAGATACTGTTACTTCTCCTTTTAAATATTAAACATACCTTGGAATCCTGATACTATTTGGACAATATCATCATAGACCATCAGAGTAGCAGACCTTTCTGGAAGCAGGCCGAGGCTCAGTGAAGAAAATACTGCAGGAAGAAAAAATGGACATAAGGGAATTTTGACATTTAAATCCGAAGTCCCATTCTAAAGTCTGATTTTCTCTGTTCTTTGAGTTATCTGACTTCAAGTCTGTGAAAAATGTATTGATTTCCAATATGATTAGAAAAAGGCCTTTAAAATACCCCAAGAATACAACGTAGTGACTACTTGTCCTACAATAGTCAAATACAGAAGACCAGCAATTCCCTTCCTAGGTACAAATCCAAGAGAAATGAAACATGGTCACACAGAAACTTGTACACAAATGTTCACATGGCATTATTTAAAATAGCAAAAGGGAGAGGCACCCACATAAATCAACTAAAAATAAAGAGTGATAAATACAAGAAAGGGACTATTTTTTAACCCTCAAAAGGGAATGTGGCCAGGCATTGGTGTCTCACGCCTATAATCCTAGCTACTCAGGAGGCTGAGATCTGAGGACTGAAGGTTCAAAGTTGGCTTGGGGAAGTAAAGTCTATGATACTCTTATGTCCAGCTAACCACCAAAGAGCCAGAAGCAGAGGTGTGACTCAAGTGGTAGAGTGCCAGCCTTGAGTTAAAAAGTCAAGCGAGAGTGTGAGGCCTTGAATTCATGCTCCAGCAATGGTCCCCACACAGAAAAGAGGCAGGTAGCAGCATACTCCATGTGCTGAGTCCTGCTACCTCCCAGAGCTCACCAGAGCTGGAGGCATTTTCTAGGCTGCCTGGTGTGAGAGCTCTGAAACCACCTCTGAATTCTCCTTTGAGAGTTACGTGACCATCACAGTGTTAAAACAAATGAACACACAAACAGAAAAAGCAACTTTTTTAAACTTGGTTTTTCCATACAGCTGTTCTGGTGAGCTTTTTTTTTTTTTCCCCTCAAAGAAGAAAACTTGGTATCTGTGTTCAGCAGCAGGGGATTCCTGCAGCAGGAGTAGTAGATCCAAGTTCCTGAGTGCCCAAAGGGTGGGAGGCAGCAGACAAGCCCTGAGAATTCAGAGGGGATGATATTTTTAACCACTTAGAGAGGGTGCTGACTGGTGCCCAGGGCCTCCTCACCCCATAGAGATAGGTGCTATTCTTCTTTCTGGTGTTGGCAACAGAAGCCAGAGCTTTGTGCTTGCTAGGCAAGTGCTCTACCACTAAGCTACCTCCTCAGCCCCATGTATTTTGGTAAGTAGAGAAAAACTTTGTTCAACCTGGGAGAGGAAAGGAGACTTGTTGGAACAGAAGACCCATCCGGGCTTTTTAAGATCTCAGACAAGCTTGTCAAGTGAATGATGGTAAAGAAATGAACAACTCAGAGAGAGTGAAAGGTCAGCCTTCTTTAGGGAACAGCAAACTGCCCAGGGTGGGTAGAGATAGATAAGGGCAATGTGGTCAGTGAAGAGGCTCTGTGTGTCTCCAGTTCCTCAAGGCCACTGAAGGATTCTAGGCAGATGTATATAACCTAACCAGGCACATGCGTTTTAAGACATAGTGTTCAGCAATACAGTGAGAGGGTTGAAGAGGCAGATTTATCTGGGCAGAGGCCACTGCAATAGTCCTGGATAATTGCAGAAGGCCTGGGCTGGGGCACTAGCTATGGAGAAGGTAATAAATTAAGATGTAAAATGGCAGTCTTCAGTGGTTTGCTTTTCACATAGCTATATTTATGCTCACTTTAGTAAGCACAGTGAGTTTCGGTAGATCCCCCTATCTATATCCCTTTCCATGATAAAGATCCCCACATCTTCTAGAAGCTATTGTTAGGGATAAGAGAAAGCAATCCATTGCAAGTTCTTAGGAGAATGCTCACACAAACTAAAACACTGCACGTGTATCATAAAGAAAGCATCTTTAGCAAGGGAAGGGGTGGCATGGCATGGTCCAAAAAGAAATGTACTCTTTACCTGACTTATGTAACTGTAACCCCTTTGTATATCACCTTTATAATAACAATCAATTTTTTTTAAAAAGAAAGCATCTTTAGTTTCAAGTTTCCATCCTGTTTTACAAAAGACTCTCAGTTCTTCTATCTTTCTTGCCTGCTTATCTGGAATACGAGCAGTATAAGACTTGATTTCTAAAAATATTCACAGTAGTTCACTTGGCCTTTCCCAAAAGTCCAGTCTACATTGTGGTCACACTTCCTGGTACGTGCTAGTGAACAGTATCTTCTTTATGTTAAAAAGGCAACCAGAACAAAATAATCAAACACTTTGAAAGGTCCTTGGAAATTACTCAGGCCAATTATTTTTATTTTTAGAAGTGAGAAGCCCAGGCTCAGAACATATTGATGGGCCCATGTATATGCGTGGCCAGCTGAGGGGTGGGCAGGCCTGAGTCTCATAGTCCTAATTCTTTTCTACCAAATCATGTTGGTCCCATTATCTGACTCATTGGAGAAAATGGATAGTGTGAAAATGGTTTACTTTTTTCCCCCTCAAATAACCACATTAAGAAAGTAAAAATAAATAGAATTAAACTGCCCATTTTCATTATTCATATTTGTATCGTTAACCTCCTGAACCAGTTCAATCGGGAAACAGTCCACCTCTTTCTTTCCAATCTGAAGTTCTACTGGTATTTCTTCTACTACATAATCTCCCTTTAGTCTTTCCTAGCCATTCTCCAAGGTTTCTCTGATTCTGCCTGCTATGTATTTCTCATGTTTATCCTCTATTTATTTGGTCAGTTATGGGGCTTGAATTCGGGGCCTGGTGCTTTCCCTGAGCTTTTTCGTTCAAAGCTAGTGCTCTATCATTTTGAGTCACAGCACCACTTCCAGTTTTCTGGTGGTTAACTGGAGATGTGTCTCATGGACTTTCCTGCCTTGGCTGACTTCTAACTACGATCCTCAGATCTCAGCCTCCTGAGTAGCTAAAATTACAGGCGTAAGCCACTGGTGCCTAGCCCTCTTTTCTTTCTTTAAAATGTATTTTTCATTATCTTTTGATATTTGTACAAAGTAATTTCAATTCAGTATGTCCATTGATGAGCATCTTGATCAGTGTTACCTGTTCTACCATTCTCCCTCTTCTATTCCAATCCTACAAATCCCTTCAAATTACCTGGTTCCATCTTCACATACATACATTGAGTGTTACAACTGTATTCACCCTCCATTCATCCCTGCCCTCCCCTTCAGCTCTACCCTCTAAGAGAAAATGTATTACAGGTTCCTGGTATGCATTTGTTAAAACTGTCTGCTAATTATGCAAAGTATACCACAGAAATCTAGCCTTGCATATATCATGCTTTTGTCAGATATGACTTCTACATATAAGAGAAAATAGGTACCCTTTGTGTCTCTGAGCCTTATTTCAATAATTTTTTTTCATTTTTTAATAATTTTTAAGTCCATCAAGTTCCCTGCAATATTATTCTTATTGATGCATTAATATATATACATATAATATGAATGTATGCACTTACATGTGTGTATATATCATATATCACACACATACACGTATATATGTATCTATACATATCTATCCCATATATATATATCTCACATATATATAATATATATCACATTTTGTTTATTTGTCCCTTGTAGGGCATCTGGGCTGTTTCCATAACTTGGCTGTGGTGAATAGTGCGGTAATGAACATGAGTGCACAGGTGTCTTTATTGTATCCTGACTTGCAATCTTTTGGATAAATACCCAAGACTGATCTTCTTTAAACTTTTCCTAAGTGTTATCCTCGGTCGTCTCTATATCAGATCCACTTTCCATAGTTCACACAGAAGAGATCCCAAACTCAGTGATCATTTTTCCCCATGGTTAGCTAATGTTGAGGGTGGACTGTTCGCATAGATTCCTGAGCCAAGCTCCTTAGATAGAATGGCCTGAGTCCTGGCATCTGTTTCCCACATACTTTCTGGTGCTGGAATCTATTGATCTCAACAATCAATTCCCTGTTCACTGACCTGGGCACATTAAGCCCAGCAATCCATAGTTATGTCTAGCCCTAAGTCTATCAGAACACTGATCCTGTATGATGGTTGATTTTGTACGTCTACTTGACAGAATTAAGGAATGCCCAGGTAGTTGGTAATTCATCATGTGTTCTCAGTCATTGCACTGTTTGACCAGCACTGGGCTGGTTGCTCTTGGGATGAAAGGGGAAATCTTGGTGGTTCAGCATTTGGTCAGAATATCTAGGCTGTCCACGTGTGTCTGTAAGGAAGTTAGAAATGACTGGTTTGTGAGTGGGTGCAGTGAGTGAGGAAGACTGGCTTTCAGTGTGGGTGGGCACATCTAATCTAACTAAACAGGAAGAGGGGAATTCTTGCTCACGCTTCTCTTTCTTTTGAACACTGAAACTCACACTAGTAGACTCTGGGCTCTCTGGACTTAACCTTAGGGAGAAAAATCCTTCTTAAAAATTTTTTTTAATGCTAGTCCTGGGGTTTGAACTCAGGGCCAGGGTGTTGTCCCACATCTTCACTTCCGGCTTTTTGGTGATTAATTGGAGATAAGAGTCTCATAGACTTTCCTGCCCTGACTGCCTTCAAACTAAGATCCTCAGATCTTAGCCTCCTGAATAGCTAGATTACAGGAGTCAGCCACCAAACGCCATGCAATTCTGGGGCTTTTGAACTTGAACTATATGGTTAGCTTGCCTGTTTCTCTAGCTTGAGAAGATTTACCATGGGACTTCTCAACCTCTGTAATCGAGTAAGTCAATTTCTCTAATAAATCCCATCTCATTTCTCTCTAAATATAATTGTAACAGTTCTATGTCTCTGGAGCATCCTGACTAAAACACCCCAGGTGGTGGAAGTTGCTTCTGTAGCTGACCTCATCAGCAAACTAGGGCCTCTCCTGGGCAAAGTGTGCACTCTGGATCTGTGGTCTCAGACACTGCTTGGTACGGGGAAGGTATTTAATAAATGTGAAGAGCCTGCTGTGTGTATAGATTGATGCTGGGGCTTTATGAAAGAGAGAAAAACACTTTTACATACTGAGATCTATCCTCAGAGGTGTTAAGATCCCCAAGGGAGCAGGTCTAGCTGTTTTTTTTTGGGGGGGGGTTACAGCTAAACACTAACATGGATATTTTACCTAACAGTGTCCTTGATGCCACAGGTTTTTGACCAGTCACTGTAATTTTGTGTGTGTGTGTGTGTGTGCTAATTCTTAATCTGAACTATTCTACAAGGCAGTATTCGTTCCATTTAGAGATGGGCATGGAAGCTAGAGGGGCTCAGCCACAGGGTGATGCCAGATCACTCCATCTTGAAGCTATACCTCCCCTCCCCCATGGACCAGCTGTGTCTCCCCACAACCCTCGGCTCTAGCCTTGCTAATCACTAATCTTGATGCCAACAGACAGCATGATCTGGGCTCCACTCCACATGGGAGTGTGAGAAGAGAGGATGAAGGGTCTGTGTCAGGTTCTGAGCGTGGTCTTGGTTGGTAGACACACTGCTTTGAATGGTGAGTGACCAGAAGGGGGAAGAAAATATGGTCTCTTGATGATTCTGCACTGCTCTGGATGTCAAGGAAGAGCCCCCGGAAATGAGTGGGGACTTGCCTTCTAAAGCATGAGCTCATCCCACTGGTTGGCACTGACAAAGAATAAAGTTCACTACTGCTGGGAAATGAGCAGAAACTAAAGCTGTGTTGGGGTTGGGAATGTGGCTTAGTGGTAGAATGCTTGCCTAGCATGCATGAGGTCCTGGGTTCAATTTCTCAGTATCACAGAGACAGAAAATGCCAGAAGTGGCATTGGCTCAAGTGGTAGAGCACTAGCCTTGAGCAAAAAGCAGCTCAGGGAAACTGTCCAGGGCCTGAAGTCAAGCTCCAGGACTAGCAGAAAAGAAAAGAAAAAGAAACTAAAGCTGTGACTCACTATGTGTGCATAATTAGGTAGAGACTGAGATGGTGGCATATGCTGATCCCATCTCTATGGTATATTACAGGGCCCCAAGCTGGGTGCTGGTGGATCATGCCTATAATCCTGGCTTTCTAGCTGCTCAGGAGGCTGAGATCTGAGAATTGGGGTTTGATGTTTTCTGGGGAGCTATGAGACTCATCTCCAATTAGCCAGCAAAATGACAGAATTAAAGATGTGGTTCAAATGGTAGAGCACCAACCTTGAGTGGAAAAAAACTAAGGGGGAGTGCAAGGCCCTGGGTTCCAGCCCTAGTTCTAGTATGCACATGCACAATACACACACACACACACACACACACGATATAAAAAATAACAACAAAATGACCCAAAGCAAAGGATCAACACACTGATTTCACTGATGGAGTGGCTCACACCTTCAAAACTGTTTCTGTGTCTGCCCTCCATTGCTCACCTACACCAGGAAGTCTGTCTTAGCAAAGAAGCATGCCTTACCAGGTAACCGGAGAGGCTTCCATGGGGCTGACTTTGGCACATAGGCATGCTTTGTGGCGGTGACAATCAGCTGACTACCCAGCTTATACTGGAACTTGATGAAGGCGGTGCCATCTGTCCCCGCCGTGCCCGAGGCGATGGAGACCTGGTTGGCAAAGATCTCAATGAGCGCATCTGCAATGGGCTGGTGGGTGCTGGCGTCACTAATGTGTACCTTCAGTGTCACCTCTGGAAATAGAAAACGCACAAAGAACCGCTGTTAACCCTGATCAGAAGTCAGAAGTGGCAGAGAACTTAGGTCTACATCCTCAAGTAGGGGTACTTGGATGAGGACTGTTGATTTCCTAGCAGCCCCTTCGTACTTTGCAGATGTCCTACTGAGTTCTTCTTTTATGCCTTCCCGATCACTCCAAATAACTGAGAGAAAGCTCAGCACCAGTGGCCCACACCTGCAATCCTAGCTACTCAGGAGGCTGAGAGGTGAGGATCCCTGTTTGAAGTTACCTGAGGCTGAAAAGTTGAAGAGACGCTTATCTCCAATTAATTGGCAGAAGAGCTGAATTGGAGGTGGGGTTCAAATGGCAGGGTGCTAGCTATACGCTAAAAAGCCAATCAAGAGTACAAGGCCCAGAGTTCAAGTCACGTAGCAGCACACACACACACAAAAGCAAAACAAAAACTCTGAGAGATAAATTCTATCCCTTTAACATGTAAATACGGTGTTCTTTCATGGGTATTCCGCATTCTGCCAAGGATTAGTCATGTGGCCTTGGAGAAGTTATTGATGCTGTCCAGGCCTCAGTTTCTCCATCAGTACACTGGGGATACCCACAATGCACAGCTCGACTTATAGGTGGAGATAAAGAGCATACATAAAACAAACCTGGCAGAAGGGGCAGACATTCCATTTCTGCAATCACTGTGCTTGCACACACTCAGTCACAGCTCTGGATGTGCTAGGCTCTGCTCCCTGAAGGGTGGGGGAGGCTGTAAGTATATCACACAACAGGGAGGCGTGAGGCACCCCACTCAGAGGGCATTAATACCTTTAGATTCAAAGTTCTAAGCCTGGGGTACAGCCCCATGACAGAATACATACTCAGTATGCATAAGGCCCTGGGTTCAATCTCCATACTCCCAACAAACTAGGGATGTAGCTCAATGGCTGAGCACTTGCATAGTATTCAAGAGTCTTCCCCCACACCCCTCACTAGTGAACCCCCGGGTCTAGGTACTATAGATGTGTTCCAAATAAGTCCCCCCAAAGGTGTTTTAGAAAGAAATTAAGTGATACAGAAATGAAACTTGGCTACTTCAGATGAGAGGAAGAGAAAATCAACAGCAAAAAACTACGAGGACAAAAATCAACATGGAAATCAAGGATGTAAATCCTGCAATTTTCTTCTCAGTGCTATTTTCATGCACCCATATAGTTTCTTCTTCCCTCCCCCTTTCTGTCCTTCTTTCCTTCCATCCTGGCTTTTTCTTTTTGAACAGTTGTGGGGTTTGAACTCAGTCAGGGCCTGGATGCTGTCCTTGAGCCTCTTTGTGTTCAAGGCTAGTGCTCTACCACTTTGAACCACAGGACCACTTCTGGGTTTTGAGTGGTTAATTGGAGATAAGAGTCTGATGGAAACTTTTCTGTCTGGGCTGGCTTTGAACTGTGATCCTCAGATCTTAGCCTCCTGAGTAGCTAGGATTACAGGCGTGAGCCACCGAGGATGCCTGTCTTTCTTTCTTTGGCGCTCCCTCTCCCTCTTCCTCTCCCTCCCTATCCTTCTCCCTCTTCTTTTCCCTCTCCCTCCCTCTCCCCCTCTCTCTCATGGGGCTTGAACTCTGGGCCTGGGTGCTGTCCCTCAGCTCTTCAGCTCAAGGTTAGTGCTCTACTACTTGAGCCACAGTGCTACTTCCAGTTTTCTGAGTGGTTTATTGGAGATCAGAGTCTCACGGACTTTCCTGCCCAGGCTGGCTTTGAACTGCAATCCTCAGATCTCAGCCTCCTCAGTAGCTAGGATTACAGGCATGAGCCACCAACGCCCGGCTGTTTTCTTTCTTTTTTTTGTGTGCCTATACTGGGGTTTGATCTAAGGGTGTAGGCACTATCCATTAGCTTTTTTGCTGAAGGCTGACAATCTACTATTTGAGTTACAGCTACTCTTCTGTCTTTTTGGTAGTTAACTGATGAAAAGAGTCTCATGGACTTTCTTGCCAAGGCTTGGCTTTGATCTGAGCATCCTGAATAGTTAGGATCACATGAGCCACTGGCATCTGGTCCATATAGTTTCTTATTTAACTTGGTCTTTTGTGTCCCCAAGTAACACAGATTACATTAATATTCACTTAGCAAAAATTGCCTGCAAGTATATGAGGGAGTTTGAGAAGGGCTTTGTGGGGCTACATTGTTGACTTGCGTAATTCTATGGTAATGTAACATTTACTAACAATTGATATTACAAGGTTCTGACTCTCTTTACTGTGCTGAGAAGGCTAAAGCCATTGAGATGTGAGGAAAAAGAACTCACGAACATACAAAGAAAGAGTCTACTCAAACCACACTCTGAAGTTCTACCACTTAAATTTCTTTACTATGGAATCCTCCTTTATGTTCTGCAATGATGGCCTTTGCTTCACTAAAGCCTTTTCTTCTTGAGTGACAGGACAGAGAAATTGTCCATATAAGTAATTCTTGTATACTCCCAGGGTATCATTTATTTCTAGAGTAACACTCAGACTATCCAATCAAAAATCAACAACACTATTCCCACTAAATGACAACCAGAAAAATCTTCTGTCTGGTGGAGGTACTAATTTTTACTAATACATTGGGTGTGTGTGTGTGCTGGTACTGTGGCTTACACCAGTCTGGGCACTGTCCCTTAGCTTTTTCACTCAAGGCTAGCTAGCACTCTATCACTTGAGGCACAGCTCCATTTCTGGATAACTGGAGATAGGAATCTCATAGACTTTCCTGCCTGGGCAGGTTTCAAACTGTGATCTTCAGACTTCAGACTTCTGTGTAGCCAGGATTACAGGAATGAGCCATTGACACCCAGTAATATTTTTTTTTTGTGGTACTAGGGTTTGAATTCAAGGCCTTACTTGAACCATACCCCCAGTCCTTTTGTGCTTAAGTTCCCCCCCCCCCCCAGGTAGGATCTCATATTTCTGCCCAGGGCCTCAGACTACAATCCTCATACTCACCCACTCTTGCTTCTTGAATAATAAGTGGGACCTAGCTTATAGATTGAGATGAAGACATAGTTAACTTTTTGCTTGAGTTATCATCAAAGCACAACCTTCCTGACTCTGCCTCCTTAGCAGGTAGGATTACAGACATGAGCCACCTGCAGTGGATGAACACTTCCATTTGCAGAATAAAAAAAGGAGACTCTAAAAGTAGTCCCAAATCTAAACATCACTAAAATGCACCATGTTTCTTTGTGGCTGGAGAGGTCTTGAGTAGTCCACTAAATGGGGATCCCTGATTTCCAAACCCCAAATGCTCTGGTCATTTCTTACCCCTTATCCTGCACACCCATCATGAAGTTCTGCTGATTTGTATTCACTCATCTCGAAGCAAGCTTTCCTTCTGCACTGTGAACATCATTCTATTTCAGGCCCTTACCAGCCATCACCCAGTGCAAAGATTTACAAGGGGTGTGGCAGGACCATGATTGGGACAGAATGGATGGATGTGGTTTTCCAGGAATCTGCTGTATACAGAGGCCCTGATTACGGGTTGGGGGGTTAGTGGAGACAGCTTCCTGGAAGAGATGGTATGGAGGCTGAGATAGGGTGAACAGCGGGCCATCTTTTCAACCAGCCTTCTTCCATTTGGGGTTGCTCCTATGAGTCCTTATGGCCTCCTTTCTCAGCCTCCTTTAGCGATCATTTTGTTAAGCTGACGTCCTCATGCTAGATTTGATCTGGAAGAGGATGGCAGCATCAAGAAGCAGGTGCTTTGTTTGTGACAAAGGCCCGTGGAGGAGGTGTGGGTTTGGGCCGTGGCAGGGAAGTCATGGGAACAGTTTTATTAGCACATGGCTCATGGGTTGTCCTGGCTTTGAGCCCTCTCTCCGCAGATTGGTGAGCCACCTGAAAAGCCTTGATGAATGCTCTTCTCATGACACTTGCTAGGTGGGAGATGCCATCTCCGAATGGCCCTGCATGGCTAGAGTCCATCTCCTTGAGAACACATCCATGGCCTCCCTCTGTCCCCAGCTTCCTTCTCAGACTCCATTATGTCTGTCTGGTCAGGGTGGAGGACCCTGGGAGTGAGAGGCTCAGGACTCTACCTTCCACACTCCTATCCAGTGAATTATTTCACCATTGGGATTTCAGTCTATGCCTCAAGAGAAGCCTCAGCCTTCCACCAGCCTGGCAGAGCCAAGAAAGCAGCAGCAGGCACTCCATCCGGAATTCCTCCCCTGCCAGAATTTCAGAGCTCCTCTGCTCTTGGCAAACACCAGGAGTTTTGGCTCTGTGGGCACAAGCTTGTCCATTTTAAGTAGTACAAAGAGCATCTGCTTTGTGGGTAGAAAACCAAACATTATCTTTTGGTCCAGCATTATCTTTTAGTCATTTCCTTTCGCACTGCCACCGATTTAGAACTAAATGTAACAAGGCTGTTTCCAATTGTTGGCTTGGGAGAAGGCACCTCTAAGCAGCGAGTTAAGAGCACACATAATTACAGGGATGGGAGGACAGAATTATGGGGCATAATCCACAGGCACAAGGAAGATTTCCCTAGTGAGGATTTGACAATCCCCCTCCCCCTTGGGAACTGAACTCTGGGCCTTGTGTTTGCTATTCAAATATCCTATTATTTCTGCAGCCTCTCTTTCTCCTTCTTTTTCTCTTTCCCTCTCTATGTCTCTCTCCCTCCTTCCCTCCCTCCCTCCTTCCTTCCTTCCTTCCATCCTTCCTCTCTCCTTTCTTTTTGGTTTTAGACTCTTTCTTTTTTCCAGAAAGGATCTCACACTTTTCCTTAGAGTGAGCCTTCTCCTACCTCCTCCTAGCAGCTGGGATTACAGGTGTGAACCATCACACTCGACTCCCTTTATTGTTAAATAATAATGTATACTATATTTTTCTACAATTGACAGAATGCATTTATTTTATAACACCGCTTCTAAATGACAAAACAAATACCCTCCATCTGTCTCTTAAATCTTATGGTAACATGGAATATTCCAGAACATAATAAAAGCTCTGTGTGTGTGTGTGTGTGTGTGTGTGTGTGTGTGTGTGTGTGTATGTGTGTGCTCCCACACACACTAGGAACAGAAGAGCTAGGGGAACATCACTCCCTGGTTTTGAATATCTATATTTCTCTAACCAACTCTGGCTTTACTTGGGAATGGGGCAGTCAAATCTGAGAACTTAAATTTATTTTTTAATGTTTCTGTGAATTTTTTCTTCTTGTTTTCTTTTAAATTTCCTTAAATTGGCCTGTGTTCATGGGTTTTAATTTTCCTTTTGAGGCTTTAAGAGCTGTTGTTTCCCCGAAGTCTCTTCTAATGGGGAGCCCAGCATTTTCTAGGTTAGGTCAGAGGAGCCTGGTAGAAACCTTTCCCAGCAGGACACCAGGCAAGAGATGCCCTGAACTCCTGAGTTGCCTAACACGGGGAAACCAGCTGAGCCGTTGATTGGCTATATTTAACACCAATTTAGGGGAGTTACAATGGCTTTTCATCTCTTAACTAAAACAATGAAAGATTGCTTGGTGGCTTAAAAAATGTTTTCCAAATGAGAGGCTATTTTTAAAATGTTACCAGCCCTTTGCTCTCAAAGATGTTTACCCCTTAGCAGAAAGCAGACTGTGGCTACTCACATGTGGAGAGACTGCCTTCCACCCATTCATTGTATTTCTTTTACAAACAGAATGGTTTACTTTATGATCTGACAGAATCAGAATGCACTAGTTTTATCATAACTTATTTTCTCTGGTCTTCTATTATATTGTATCAATTCAATTATATTTAAAAAAATTACAGGCTGGGCGCTGGTGGCTCATGTCTATAATCCTAGCTACTCAGGTGGCTAAGATCTGAGGATCACGGTTTGAAGCTAGCCCAGGCAGAAAAGTCCCTATGAGACTCTTCAATTAACCAAAAACTAGAACTAGAGCTGTGGTTCAAGGTGGTAGAGCACTAACCTTGAGCAAAAGAGCTCAGGGATAGCGCCCTAGTCCTGAATTGAACCCCCACAACTGACAAAAATAAATAAATTTCAACTTCTCAAACGCTGTGAATCATGTCCTTTCAGATATCACACATATTTTGAAAGATCCATATATCATATATTATCTAACATATAGAATGTTACTTTGTAATATATATATATATATGTATATATATATTTTTGGGGGGGGTCTGGTCATGGGGCCTGAACTCTGGGCCTGGGCACTGTCCCTCAGCTCTTCAGCTCAAGGTTAGCACTCTACCACTTGAGCCACAGCACCACTTCCAGCTTTTTTCTTTTTTGCTTATGTGGTGCTGAGGAATCGAACCCAGGGCCTTAGGCATGCAAGGCAAGCACTCTACCACTGAGCCACCTTCCCAGCTCCCACTTTGTAATATATTTTATTATGAAGTCTCTTGTATCCAATTTCTACTTTTACTAAAGCAGTTGGTAATTCATGGGTGGGTGTAGTTCTAAAAGCAATATTCAGTTTGACACTGGCAAAAACTGAGACTTCTGTTCTGTCTCTGGGGGAGAAAGGACAAGGCAGGCACACGGTAGAGACAAGCTTGTGGGCACTTGGGCCCACCTGGCTCCCTGATTGCCCCTCTATAGCCATTCTCCAAGCAGACCCCTTTGAAGTCTGTAGGGTTCCAGAAGCTGCCCTAAGGCACTGATCTGAGGTCATCTGACTCACACAGAATTCCTACCTCCATCTGCCAACATTCACCAGAGGATCGCAATCTCCCTAGACTGCTTGACTTCCTTTCTATTCACTCTGAGAAGCATGTAAGAGGTAAGTTCACACACTGCAGCCTCTGGGAATGCAGAATAACCATTTTCTGTGTTTTCTAACCATCTCTGGCAACTGACTTCCACTCCTAGCTTCAGGAAAAGACAGCCATGTGGCAGACTCCACAGTTAACAGCTTCAGCTGGGAGGAAGAAGAGGAGAGCCACACAGGCAGCCGCTGGGCATAGCTGACGCTGCTGGAGCTTCTCAGGCTTGGCAGGCACTGCCCACGATGAACTCTCTCACTCCAACCTCTTCATGTCTCTGTCCCTCCAATGGATAAACTTCTGTCTTGGCAAGGCTGCCAGGATGTCTCTGGGCAATCAGTTTGTCCCACTTCCCATCGTAAGAAATTTGTGCGAGAAGCAAATCAATGATCAAGCTCTGAACAGCACTTTCTTTTAACTGTATTTTTTTTGTCTTTTCTTTTTTTTTGGTACTGGGGATCGAACCCAGGACGTTGCACTTGCTAGGCAAGCGCTTTGCCACTGAGCTACAGCACTTTCTTAACCAACATTGTCAGGATGCCTTGAAATATACCATCATAAGCATCGTAGACATATAGCAATTAAAAAATCATTATTACCACCCTTCCCCACCCCTGCAAAAAAAAAAAAACCTTTGCATTTTCTCAAGTAATCTTTTTATCCCCTTAAAAGCTCTACAATGTGCTGGGCCAGTGGCTCACACTTATAATCCTAGCTACTCAAGAGGCTGGGATCTAAGGATGACAGTTCAAAGCCAGCCTGGCAGGTAAATCCAAGTGACTCTTATCTCCAACAAACTACTCAGAAAAAGACGGAAGTAGCTCTGTGGCTCAAGTGGTAGAGCACTGGCCTTGAGCACAGAGAGGCTCAGGGACAGAGCACAGGGCAAAAAAAAAAAAAAAAAAGCTCAGGGACAGCAGCTAGGCTCTGAGTTCAAATAGAAAGTAGCATGGGTCTCCTACAAGTTTTAGGCTAAAGACCCTTTTAGATCTCTTTAGTCACTGATGATCTCAATAGCAAAGTTGATATGAGGTTTGTACAGCCCAGTCAATATGCTTATTAATCGATCAGAGTAAAAATAGCTGCATTCTTGACTAATTAGTCAAAGGATCATTAAGGTACATCTTTCAGGATAATTTGAAAATTGTACTTTTTTACTTCAGCTGTACAGCTTACAATTAACCAAATATTCACAAGCAAAATTAATGATAGCCAATTTCTATGATCTCAGATAACAAAATATATAAAAATAACCATAATCTTTATGTGCCTAAAATCAGTTAGACAGGGCTTGAACAGTAGAGTACTAGCATGTCTGAGGCCCCGAGTTCAAACCCCATTACCACCAAAAAAGAAATAAAAGCTTTAAAAAGTATTACATGAAAATATGATTACTAATCTCAACTGAAACTTTTGAATATGATTGTTCCAAGGAAGAAAGAATGGAAGAGTTACTGACCATCAAAACAATGCTACTTATGTATACCTTAAAAGTCATGGTTCAAAGGTGAAAGAACTTTTCCATAAAGGTCAATAGCAATCTCCTCATTTTTGTCAGCTTGGTAAGAAGCATAATGACAATGACATGGAAATAGAAATCCAGTAGATAGGTTTACTAAGCTTCAGCACAGGGCTTATGCTACCAACCAAACTAGTGGTGGTAACCAGAG